GTGAATATATTGTGAACGAAATGCCTAACGAGACGACTACTTAGCATTTAACAAACGATAGAGGTTTTTCGGTTTGGGTTGTGCTCTTCGCCGTTTGTGTATAATGATAATTGACAAGTCGATTATCAATATTGTGTGTGTGTGTGTATATTTCTATTTGTTCATAGAAAATAGTGCCCCCCCCCCCACACGTTATGAAGAAATACAATTTATTTGAACCTATTATTTAAACAACGAATAACTGCAAATAATATTGTAATCCGAAATATTCTATAATACTGATATTGATTTCTATGTATAGTTGATATATTAAATTGGGTGATATCAGATTCAAATGTCATCATTAACAAAAACCAGGCAAAGTTAAACGTTTTTTACCGTTTTGAATATTTAACGGGACAGAAATAATTATCGTTTCTCGCCTTTTTTATTATTATTATTACTTTTTTCTCTCAACACATTGTAGTCGTGACGTTAATGATAGGAAGTTTTTTTCCCCCATTAGCAGACCGTTCTCTTCACTTCCCAAATGAGATTCTACATCCGGATGACGAATGGCAAAAGCGTTGGCAGCAATTCCGACATAAGTGCACAGGCCAATACGTAGGTAGGTTTTATGATTTATTTCAGTGTGAAATTGTTTGAAACAAAATAATATGTTCAACGGTTATATTATTACATAATTTTGTATACTTGCACACACAACGGTCGTGCACAAAGTTTTGTCATTTTGTCGCGTCATCGTTTTCAAACAGTATTTTTTTTTAAACTACAATAAAAAACAAAACTTACACTATATTGTGTTATTTTTATAGGGATGAAATACTCATGATATTATACTGTTAAAAATACACACACACACACATCAAGAACCGTACAAGCCAATTTTATTATTAAAGTAATTACGTTCGATTAATTGTAGCTATAAATGATACTGTTTTTTTTTAACTAGGATATTTATTTTCCTCGGGTCGTTACCAAAATATAGTCGGGTACTTGTTTTGTTATCTATTCACAGTTGAATAATTCTACTCAATCGCTTACTTAATATTTTAAATAGTTGTTAATTTTTTTTAATAACCCCTCACAAAGTCAAGGAAGATTGTTCCAAGAGCTGTACGGCATGTGCACTAATATATTGCAAGTATATTTAATTAAATAATGTACAGGGTGTTCCAGAATGAAAGGTAAGTAATAGGTGATTCGACATCTGGAGGACCCCAAAATAAGCCCCCCGTTTTCATTTTTTCAATTGAAGGTTTCAGCTGTTAAGTAAAAAAATAATGACTTAAAAAAAATATATATTCTCTGTTATTCAGTGCAAAAAGCTCACCTTAAAAGAGGGATCACATCGTTTTTAGTCCCTTTCCGCCCCTAACTCAAAAATTGATAAGAGACAAGAAATAAGAAATAAATGATAAGTGATAAAAGATAATTACAAAGAGATAAATGAAAAGAGATAAGTGATAAGAGATTAGAGATAAACACAGAGATATATATAATTAACTAGATTGCTAACTAGCGATCAGAATTGAAGCCGACGGTCCGCCATTCTGGTGGGATTTATGTGTGTTATCAATGCATATTATATATAACTGTATATATTACTATATCAATATTATTATATATATATATCTGTGTTATAAACATATATTATTCTCACGTGATAAGGTTGTAATTCCCACCAATATGGCGGAAAGTGGATGCTTCAATCTTCTCCATTGGTTGCACGTACAGTTAGCAATCTCGTTTATTATATATATATATATATATCTGTGGAGATAAATAATTATAAACAAGAGATAACAAAATAAATGACATCCGTGATAAGAGATAAATGATTAGAGACTAGAGGTAAGAAATAAATGATAAAATAAGTGATGAGAGAAGAGTTAAGGGCCGAGGACTGAAAATGATGTTACCGCTCTTTAAGGTGAGAATTTGTTTGCCCTAAATAACAAGGAATAATTTTTTATTTTATTACTTAACCGTCGAAACCTTGAATTTTTGACTTATGAAAACGGGAGACTTATTTTTATATATAATGTATCAAGAGTACTGAGTATGTAAATTATAGTTTAACGGTTGACCGATATATTGTACCGTATGGTAAATGTATAATCGATACGAAAAGCGTGCCGGAAAATGTGTACAATATACTACGTTGTGCAAAAATAATGTCAATTTATGGACGACACCACGTCAATAACAAACTTGCACGTTGTTTTACCATGCCTATATACATTACATAAGGTACATTATTATTAACAGCGGCTTTAGACGTTTATACAAACCCCCCCCCCCCCAAAAAAAAAACAAGTCCGAAAAATAGCTGGAAACAGCCAAACGTACAAAAAAATTAGCAAACACTACTATGCGCTATATATTAAACGAAATTCGTATGCGGCTCTAATGGCCGTGTACATACTGTTAAGTATAGGCATATGGCCAAGTATATATATATATATATATTTTTTTTGTATGTATATAACAACATATTACCGGAAAACATAATTTTTTTGGTAATGAGCAATACGGATGCCGTACGTTTGTGTGTAATAACTTAGCTTGTTGCATATTATTGTGTAAAAAATAAATAATTTCAATATTAAAAGGGCGCATACATGTTCGTGTCACGTTGGTCGTATTAATAAAGATCAAAATCGCGCAATAAAATGAAAAAAAAAATAACACACATATACATATAATGATGTACAACAAAAAATGTTGGGTTATCTTTTTTTTAGACGATGCGAGTCTTGTTTCTTGTTTGTCAATTGACAGTAAAAAAATTCGATATCCCACTAAAAAGCTGCAAAGGAGGTGTAATAATGTGTGAACGACGTTGATGGTCCATTTGGAATGACCGTTTTTTATGAATAAAATCTTTGTGTGTATTATACTAACCATGTAGCTGGTAATCTCAGGTTTAAATTTGTTATTCCACGTTCGACCATATATTCAGCGTTATAAACTTACAATATATATACAGGATTTAAGTATACAATTTGGACGAGGATGATCTCTGGCGATGTGCTTTTATCGTGTAAAAATTACCAAGTCAAAATTTGATTGTATTTTTCACAAAATTGGTACTATTTGTCAAACAGCATACTGGAATTTATGTTATTTCCAAATCCACACCACAAAGCGAATGTTGTTTTTACTTTGAAAAATTGTAACCAAAATAATTGGAAATGGCCCCTAATTGAATAAACATGTTATATATACATAGATTAGGTCCCTCGAGGAAATAATAGATATGATTATTATGTTGGTGCGGATTATATGGTAATAATAATAGTATACAATGTAATGAAATCCAATGTGTATATATATATAAGCTATGGCCAAAATCTCAAAACGTTTGATCAGTTTAAATTGGATCGCTTTGATCTTCAAGTAAAACCTAACTCAGAGTGAACTCGACAGTCCAATAACTTAATATACATTTAACAGCTGTACTTTACACATATCGCCAAAATATCAACATTTATCTACTTTTGGTGTCAATTTTTATGGTGCCCAAGACAAGCATATTTTACCAAGTATTAAAATCATTTAAACAAAAAAAATATGGTTTTTTTAAACTTAGATTTCAATTTCTAGCCTGGATTTCCTCTGCAAGGAAGAAAGTCTGAACTTGGGCTTTTTAGACTACTCTACCGAATCCCATTACCGTCCAGGATAACTGCCTAAACTAATCGCCCGTGAAATTAAATTCTCCACAAATATATATATGTATAATATACATACAGGTAGTAGTAGTAGTAGTAGTACACTCAGAGGTGGGCATTAGCTTTTTTTATTTTTTGATAAGTATACAAAAATAGGTGTACTCGATAATTGTACCTGATTACCTTTTGTCTATAACTAGTACTTTTTAGCAGTATTATATTTTAATACTCTATTAAATAATACTGAAAAAACAATTTTTTTTATTTCACATATATTTTAACAAAAATAATATATTTTACCTGATATTTATATACTTAGGTATAAGTTCTACCAGTTTTCAGTAAAATATAACGTTTACCACCAAAATAACTTGTTTTCTTGGTACATTAGTATGTGTATCAATAAATAATTTTACTTATGTATATATATTTTGAGTTCTAGCAAGTAAAATGCAATTTTTCGTTTAGTATTTTTCTGCACATCTTTCAGTTCAGCATCGTTGCAACTATTTTATTGACAATATTATTCACTATGAATAAATTACAAAATAGATCACCAACAATTACCTAATGTTAATTAAATTGATCAATAACCGTTTTAAAGTAATCTGTAACCATGATTACAGTTTAACTGTGAAACTCTATATGGTTATTTTGCTTGTTTATTGATACCATATAAATCTCACATGATATACCTTTTACACGCAATAAGTTATAAATAATTGTAATCAATAAACATTGCATTAGATTACAATAATCAAACCCAACACTTAACTAAAAAAGGCAATATGTACACATTAGGTTACTAATTGAAATATTGTAAAACAGTATCTTTTTTATTATCAAATAGGTATAGTTTATCAAGATGAAAAAAATTAGCTATACCATTCTTAGATGTACTTTTTTATTTAAGTATTTTTTTTTTTTTGCAAACAAAAATAATTCCAAGCAATAACTATCATACTGTAACAACCTAACCGCCGTAGGATTAAATTGATTTTCAATCTATCGTTCAAACATTATACTATTATTTTCAACAGCATCTTTTACTACGACGAACCAAGGATATGCGCCTTACTTTGATGAATTGACACAATTCATTATACACTTTTATATAACACTTGGGTGGTTTTTTTTTCTGCACTATTTTTCTTGCTTTGTCCAAGTATTTTTCCTAAGTCCCTCGTCGATGACGGTTGTGCTTGGCGCACGGTTATTTCATCACAAACGGTTGGCCATATTGAGAGACACACACCACACAGAGAGAGCTGTTCACGTTTCCACATGGTCTGAAAGCTCCCGGCAGTTCCTTTGGACGTTCCAACTTTGGCGGGTGTCGGTTTGTAGCTGTTACTTCGGGTAAAACATTCTTTTTTTTTTTTTTTTTTAAACTGTTAAAAAACCAAAAAATTATAATAATAAAAAGACGGAAAAAGTGCGTCGTTAAAACCTGTGTTGACCCTTATCCGTGTAAAATTGTAAAAAAAATAAAACTATTCTTCTCTCCCCCCAACCCCTCAACATTGAAACGGTGTAAGATATCAAACTGGAACTCAAAGAAGAAGCATTGACAAACAAATAACAACGGTAATTGCTATATTTGTATCTACTCGTCGACATAGGTAATGATAATTTTGTAATAATAATAATAATAATACCTACTAATGATAAACTAGTCGTTTTGGAAGGCCAATTGAACAAGTTAATGTCAACAGATTAATGTGTTATGATATTACATTGCACTTGTGAAAATACTGTCAATTTTTGTTTTAAAAGATTTTACTTAATTGAAAATATTATGTAACAACCTGGTTTTTTTGGTAATTTTCTATTTGATACCTTTTCGACTAAAATATGATATTATAGTACATAAAACTTGTAATTTGCTGACAACTTTTGTAGTATCTTGAAATCTTCAAAACGAAAATACTACTATTACAACAGCAACAAAAATAACATTAAGTGATATTATAATTGGAGACTTTGATACTCAAACATTTGTATACAAAAAAAGGAATCTTAAACGTGTATCTAGAAAAAACTGATAAACGTGTACATAGTAAAGGCATATTTATATGATTTTAAATAGAGGTAAATGCAATACTTGGCTAGGTAGGAGTTGAGTTGTATAACTGAATTCCAAAAAAAAAAAAAAATCAAATACTGTTACCAAACTAAGGAATATATTGCCTATGTGCATTCAACAAGTGCTAAACACACTGTTCTAAGTATCCTTAAATGGGAGGATCTCATGTAGCTTTTTTATTACATAAGGTTAGGTTTTATCAGATGAGATCTCCGACACTTCCATTTCATGTCCGAACACATTATTTTAATACCAAGACATTTACATAATATTATCATATTTGCGACATTGACTGACTCACAAACAACTCTATTAAAATAATTATACGGTATACTTAGGCAAATTAGTATTGAATCTTAATTTAAAATTAAAGCCACAATATGAATTTAATCATACGTAACCAACAGTGTAATTTAACATTGATGATTGTCATCGAAGCTTTAAATTTTTTATCTAATTGAACTTAATATACAAATTCACGGTTTTTGTTCTTTTGTATAACCGTAATAGAAGTATACTGCAACTTGTGAAATATATCTAATAGATACCGTGTAGGTACCTCTACTATTTTTGACTGAAATAAATTACTGTTCTTTCATAAAAAAAAAAAAAAATATTGGTCATCTTCACAGATTGCGACTTTGCGAGGACATTCCTGTAAAATAATATTTATTGCAGGGATTTACTATTAAAACAACATTTTGTTTGAATCACGTTGGCTTTCATCCATTATTCCACTACAATCCTACCGAATCACATAGTAGGTGTGGTAACGTGCATTTATCTATTTTTAAGTACACTTTAGACTTTTGTTAACACCGTGTATTTGATGGATGAACAAGCTTGTTTTTTTTTTTTTACCAAGTCTGGTAAAAGAAAACTTGAATAGTTCATAAAGCTTGTTTTTTTTTATGAATTAAACATTAATGGTAAAGCGTTTTGGTCCGTTGCATTTTTTTTTATTCACTTTTTCCTAAATAAATATAAAATAACACTAATAAAAGCTCTTAATAAAACAAGCAAGTATTTTAATTCTAAATTTACTAATAATAATAATAACTTAATAATAAAACTCACTATGAATGTAAGTAACAGCTTGCTATGAATGAATTTTTTTTTTCAACTGGTTCCTAAATGTTTAACAGAAAATTGGAATTTCTTTGAATATACAAAATATATAGTTGTAAACATGATTATTGGATGATCCTGTAAAATACCTTCTATTTTTCAATTAAGCGAAAAGAATAATATATATATCTATTGTCAACAATGTATTAAAACTTTACTTGTAAATAAAATGGCTAAATAATAAACAAATATAATTTAATTTATATTATAGTGCTGGTAAAAAACATTTTACATTTATGATTATTATAACGTTTTTACTTTTTTGTTTCCAAGTATTATAAGTTCATTTATTAAACCGATATGCTATTCTATATATATATATATATATTTTTTTTTTTTTTTAATAAACAACATTTGTTAAAATACACTAATAGTTTATAAAAAAAATTACCTTAACAAGTATGAAAATAAAGGAGCGAGCGTAGATTATAAACTAATTGAGTAAATTTGATATATTAATAAAAATAATTGACAGAGTTTACAAATTTAAAATAAAAAATGTTTACATTTAAAAAACGTCAATGTATTACACAATTAATAAAAACACAAAACTGTTGGTTTTTTTTCCTTCAAACAAATGGAAATCACATTTACATCTTCATTCGCTCGCAGTTATGTACCTCACCTGACCCTAATTATAAAATATAAGGGAAAAAACCGAAGAGAATATATAAGGCGTGACATAAATGTAAATAATTACTTGAATTCATTTCGTTTGAAGTTTTAAACAGCCAGCAATTTGCGTAGCTGCTTTTATTAATTACAATTTACATTCTTATTACCATAAAAAAAAAAAAACGATTCGAAACGCTAATCTGTTGAGAAACGTTCAATTTGAAACGCTGGTATTTTTAATTGAGTTTTTTTTTGTTGTTTGAAAATTACCGTTTTAATAATAATTAATGGAAAAACTTATCTTATTGCCATCGAATAAAAGTCAGTTTTTTTTTTTTGATAACATAAATATGTAAGCATATAATTATATAATAAAAATGTAAGCTCATATTTTAATCTTCATGTTGTTCACTCTTGAATAATGTTTTTATAGTATTAGCTTTGGGTAAAAACCAAAAACAAAATAGATATTTTCGAAGGGATAATCGGTTTTCCCTTTGAAAATGATTTATTATTGCCAAGCAATAATTCACCACTTGAGCGAAGAATACTTATAACTATTATAATCATATTATACCATTTTAGTTAAAAAAAAAAAAAAAATAACAGCACAGCCAAACAAGGCCGTATTTATGAGGGTGGATTTTGGTGGTTAGAAGACAACCTTAATAATTTTTTTTTTGTAATGCTAGTTGAAACATGTAAAAGTAAACAATAATAATATAATTCTACATTTTTTAAATTTATACTGTCAGTTTTTTAAACTTTGAAAAATAACGCTTCGAGTAATTTTATTTATTACATTTTTTAGTGTTTATTTTCTGTTTTAATTTTATATCTTGTAATTGGTTTAAATAATAAATTATTTTTATTGTTTGTATGTGTAAGGTATTGACAAATTCAACTAGATAAGTACAATGGATTTGATGATTAGCGTTCTCCTCTTAAGATACCGGCTACTAAATTTAATCATAGATTTTTTAACCTAACCGGATATTGTTCCGGTTATAAATATAATGTTTTAAATATAAAAGCTAATAAAATAACTGTCTACGTTGTAGATAATAGGTATATGCACATTGCAAACAGGTACACCTACACTGAAAACAGTTTCTTTTGGGTTAGATTATCTAAAAAAAATGGACCTAACAAAATTTGTACTTCACTCTTTTTTTTTTTTAATAAAATGTGTAATTTGGAAACAAAGCTGCTTTTTAATCACTTCGGGTGTAGTAAATTTATCTGACGTTTTTTTTTGTTTGCATGTATTTGGTATGTACCTACTAACAGTATTATAGTAACTGTACAGACTACAACTTATATATACCAAAACGTTAAAAGAAAGTAAGATAAAATGCCAAATAATAACAATAAACTGACAAATTATTTATATACAATCACTTATCAGTTATCACATACCTTATTAACCAATGAAAACGTTGGAATCGAGGAAACCGCTTTGGTAACCCTACTAACGTTTTGTTAACTTAACAAATCGAATTTAACGATAATAATGTTATGGTGAAACTTATTTCTTTTAACCAGATGTTAAATTTTAATGAACTGTTAACTAACATAGTGTTAAGAGTGTATTTAACAATAGTTGGTGAAACCGGCTGATTATGTTTAACAGTTAATATACTATAAAAACGTGGTCATTATTATTATCAAAAGCAACAGCTGTAAAGTGTGCGGGCAGTAAAGTATTCAAAATAAGTACATGTGTCATAAAAAAAATTCTATTATTTAATACCAAAGTGAAATTGTGGCACGTTCGATGATAAACTGTATTTTTAACACTATTTTTCATTGGTTCAATACACAAACCTTATTGGGGATTTGTTAGTTGTGAGATTTTTAGTCTATACACACATGTATTTCCTTTTTTATTTTTATTTTAGAAATTTTACTGTTTCAACTTAAATTTATCTCACAACGACTTCATAAGAACAATTCTTGAATTATCATCAATAGTGTAAGATTCAATTTTAAGTCAAACCTAACATACTGACTTGAATAACAATAGTAATGTTACTAATAAATTGTAATTTGGGGTTTCTGTTAGTTCTGTTCAACATTCGTGCGGTACCAATTTATGATTTATTTTACTGTTTTAATAACAATCAAATGACTAGTCGAGCTAAAAATTACCTTCCTAACTAATTAAACATTATTATTGCAAGTTTGTCCGGCTTTGCAAAACACGAATGTATATAACTTCACAATGCATTTGAACAGATACACATTCTTTACACACAAGCCGTTAACATAAACAAATTAATTATCATTATGAGTGTAATTATTGTCGAATGTCGCAAAAAAAAAAATCATTGTTAACCGGTCGTGTCTAAACTAGAACCGATCATTTACTCGTTTAATTTAAATAACAAACGATTTACTAATTAATACCACAACGAATTTCGAGAGAGAGAAAAAAAAAGTAGAAAATTACTTATAATCATATTATCTATTGTGTATAAATAGATAAGTTATAGTTGTATTATATACAAAATTGATCTGCTCTCAAGTAGAGAAAATCTAGTTATTATATATTATTCTAGTGAATACAAACATACTTTGACTTTAACATGAAACTAGCAAAACGGTCGTTGACATAAATAATAAGTAATAAGAATGTCATCTGGTGCTGTCTAGCCAATTATTATTAATGTTATGAATAATAATTATATTAATTATTATCGAATACAACCGTTTTGTAGACAAGTGTTGTGCATATTATTATGATGCCAAAGATGCACGGTTTATAATCTACTTTCTTTGGATTGTTACCACATAGTAATGTGTTTAGGCGTTTTACTAGAATTTTTTTATGCCTTGTCAACTTATTAAGCGTAAAAGCACTTCTTGTGGTCATAAAATTAACAACATTATGCTGTAGCTGAGTGACCTACAAAGAATATATTATATAATTTTGAATCCATGTTACTCATCATCTCCCGGTATCACTTTATTTATTACAATTCTATTAATGTAATAACTATAAAAGTCATGTGCCATTATGTGAATTGATATGCATCTAAACCTTGTTTATTTAAGCCATGGCCTCGACAGTGGAACGGTGACAGGTGACTATCTCTCTCTCTCTCTCTCTCTCTCTCTGAAAACGGACCCTGCAATGGATTCGAAACGTCAGCTGGTAACTAATGACAACACTGAATAGATCCGAAAATGATCAAACTAGTTCAATCCGTTAAAAAGTTTTGGCACCTCCATCGTATGATAAATGTTCCTTTAAAAAAATCATCATCATTATTGTTATCAGTGATTGTTGTATAGTATAGTATAGGTACTGACTATGTCCATCACTCTTCAGTAGGTACACAACTATATAATTAAGACATTTTTATCATTTTTTTGTTAAGAAGATGTTCATAACTGTTGAGAAATAGTCTTATACAATTCATTTTACTTGTACTACACGTGCTGTCGTTTGACAGTATCTATAGTTTAAACAATTCCTAATTTAATTATAATATTCAACCGCCAAAAAGCTATTTGCATTATTTAGCATATGTCTGTCCAGAAGGTTTAGGTACCGCGTAGCTGGTCTGTTGTGTTTATTGTTTTTAATTTACTTTTTACAATCGAAAGGGTTAAAAAAACGTTTGTTTATTTAAATCTTTTCAGGTTCAATATTTAGTTTAGTTTAGTATTTTTTTTTTTAATTAATTTTTTTTTCAAATTACAATCGTATTGAAAAAACATACATATATACAATATTATACATCTGTATAAATAAAACAGGCTTAAGTAAACACACTGTTCTCTGCGTGTACATCTGGCGTTGATGGATTAAACTCCATATTTTTTTGCTGTTTGTTTACAGATTGATGTTGAAATTTGCATTTTTATCAGCTGACAGGTGAACCTGTCGTGCCCACGTGGAAGATTGTTTGACAAAAAAATAAATGTTGTTTTTTTATTGAAATGTCGCGTTTAGGTGCGGGGGGGGGGTATGGTCTAGAGAATATTATGCCTTCTGTGCGACTGGTGCGAAATTCGATTTTTCTATACCGTTGACCCCCAAAAACATTTCCGTACTTATATCAGCCAAGTATTCGGGGAATGTACTTAGATACATATATATATATATATATATATATATAATAGGACGTGTGTAGCTGTGGGACAAACTCCTAAGCAAACACAGCCACGGCGGGTATCGGACCATCTTATTATATTTTTACACCTAAGACAACACACCCGCCATGTAGCTGTTATTGTGCAAACGGCCAAGATGTCAAGATTAAGATATGCCGTGTATACCGTGGGCCTTATTATAAACCTATAGATTACATACAGCCGGATTCACCAACATTTGTTAAGAACGTTGAAATCTAAGCTACTCTTTTTGATATTGATTGTACAAACGGCATAATAATTATTGCTACCGTCGTGACTGACGAGCCATTATTGTGTCAATAATGAAAAACGCCAAGTTTGTGTATCATGACTTTACTCGTGTCTTGTGTGGGTAAGTATAGTATTGCACGGCCTATAAATGATTTTTTTCATGTAGCCATTAAAGACTATGGACAAAAAATGGTTACACGATAGGCACTAAAGAAAGAAAACTTGAAAAGTCCACCCCTTTAAAATCGAGAAAAACGCCTTAAAAATGTTATTATAATTAAAATATAACTAATATTAAAAGTAAAAAAAACCCGAGAAAAATAGCTTTTATATAATATAGGTGTTAACAACTTGTAAATAACGACTTGCTGAGACTACGAGTAGCGAAGCTATCCAGTGATAGATAAGATCCTTATAGATCCTTTTTGGCGCTAACCTTATTTATATAAAATCTAAAAGTAGTTTTATCCAATCACCAACAACACTGCAAACAACCACAATTAATCTGAGATAGGTTTTTTTGTTTGTCGACAATACACAATATTAGATTTTGCAAAGATCAAAGGGACAAATCCTTATCTTTTTTTTTTATCATTATTATTCAAATTCTCGTGTAGCTTATGTACACGTTCGCCATAATGTATCCATTCCATTATGCATAGTGTAAAACCCATTTCGCACCAGCAATAGCTGCGTTATTTTCCGAGGTTGGTATATTATCTCACATTATATATAACATGGACAGTAAAAATTATACGAGTTTTTTTTTTTTTTTGAAACTCTGAGTCCGTTTGGATATAAAAAACATTTAGCAAAGAAAACTAACAGCAAACCTAATCCGTCCGTCCATCCTACACACAGTCAACACAATGTCCTCGCACAACTATAAAACAACTACTTACATGATTGAAAGGGTCGTTTTTTACACAAACGACATTTCGACATTGAACTATTTGTTTTTTATGGTTTTTTTTTTCTGTTAAAGATAAATGAGTTATTTTTCGTTGTACATATTTCAGTCCCAGACTGTGTGCAAGTATTGACCATAAACTTAAATACTGATTGTTATATATTATAACCATGATAGCTGTATAATAATATAATAACTAATTGTTTTCTATCAGCAGTTCAACAGTGAATTCTATTGTTTAAACGGCCTCCCGGCAAAGTTGGAGACTCAGAACGCAATAATAATAATTACCATAAATGAATGGTGTTTTAAATTAGTGGATTGCGTGTGTAATGATAATTATATTATACCTACATTATTTTCGTGAGAGTAGTTGAAAGAAATTAAATATTTTGAAAATTATCCCTGCATTCTGATGTAGCAGGTAAGTCTCTTAACGACTAACAGCTGATTTCACCAACTATTGTTAAATACACTCTTAACACATTGTTAGTTAACAATCAATTTAAATTTAACATCTGGTCAAATAAAATAAGTTCCACCAGAATATTATTATTGTTAAATTCGATTTATTAAGTTAACAAAATGTTAGTTGGGTTACCAAAGCGGTTACCTCGATTCCAACGTTCTTATTGGTTATTAATATAATATGTGATAACTGATAAGTGATTGTTTATCGTTTATCGTTTGTCAGTTTTTTATTATTTGGCATTTTATTTTACTTTCTTTTAACGTTTCGGTTTGTATAAATAATAATTTATACATAATATTATAACACATTGGTTAGATACCTAGTCTATACCTTTCTAAAAATAGTTTGTCATCAAGGTTATTAAAATATGATTTTCTACTTTCAAAGGCCTTAAAAAAAAAGTAGGTAGTGATAAGAATTTCTATTGTTATACTCAGGACAGGCAAGACAAAATACAATAAATTATGATCTTTGAATCTATAATGCAAGTCTATGCCATTCCTTTTTACCTAATCTACTTACATAAAATAACTTCTGCTTACCTAATAAAGGGTTAGCGAAGTTGTCTTTTCTGTTATTCTCTAAAAATTCAATATAAAGTAATTGCTCATCTCGATGAAACCCAATTTTTCCTAACTAGTTGTTAAATATAATTAACAATAAAGTTAATCCTTAACACATGTTGGTGAAACCGGCTGTATATGTAGCATAGGCAAACAATGTTTTGTAAACAATTTTAACAACATTACAATACCGCTAACTGTTTACCGGTTGTCCACTATCCAGAGTTGAGTGGCCACTTAATTAATGATAAATCTAATTTAACGACTTGACCGCATTTTCAAAAGCAATAAACATCTCTACACACTGTACTTGTAGAATAATGGTAATATTTGGAAATTTCATGTAAAAAAAAAAAATACTTATTTAACATAAACAATAAATTTATGTGTTCATTGTTTAAATTTCAAAATGGCGACATACATGTAATTGATTGAATTTTTTTTTACAGATATAAAATGCAATCACGCACAAGTTCATTGCGACCGTCGTCTACGAAGCAAACAAAAAACAAGTAAGTTCATATTGACATAATTTTAATAACAAAAGTTTTACACAACAATTAAGTACTTTCGAAACGGTGAAAGTGTAATTTTTTCGATAAATAAGTTTTTTTATCAGACACGGTATTTATCAATTGAATATTATATGTTTCTATCAGTAGTTGTGATATTTTCATTAAAGATACCTATATAGAATAGGTTTATATTAAACAAAATTAATCGACATAACCCATCGGAATTTATTGGACATACATTATTATTTTCAATACTTCATTAAAACTGATAAAAAATTATGATTATCTTTTGCGATTACTAGTTTTTTTTTTACTTTATAAGCTAGAATGATGATACTATACTTACATATATTAGTAGATCACATAACATTGATATGATAAATACCTAGTATTTGCATAAGATAGTCAAAGAAAAGCGATTCTCTTGTAAAAATTCCAAGACATTTGTATTTCACTACATAAATTATTTTCATAGTTGTTTTTTATTTAATCTAACCAACTTAGCCTATACAACTTAACAATCATGTTGTACTGCAAATACATTTATTTTACAATTGCATATCTTCTAATTGATCGGCCTGAATGTTATATTTCGACTTGCAATAGTGTACTTGTAAGATTTTGTAAATGTGTTGTCTCCTTTTCCTTGACACAGTCCATACAATCTCTTGAAACAATTAACTAAACTAAACTTTTGTTATGATAAATGCGTTTATAATAATCGAAATATTAACCGTGTGAGAAAAAGTGGGTATGCAAACTACAAAATCTAAAACCTAGATCAAAGTATACAAAACAATGAAAGAAGTGCAGTAAAATATTTGTTCATTAAGTATTTGCACTTCTTCGCAGAGCCGACAACAAAGAAAAACTATATTAATATGATAATCAAAAATTTATCAGGTGACAAAATCAATTGAAAGTACCTCTAATAAATTATTACCCAACTTTTCTACATTACTCTTTGGAAATTATAAATCAAATGTTATAAGAATCACATAAAAAAACCGCATATTAACATTCATTTTTCAATGTACACGGTTTAATTAAAATAAAATACAATTTGCTTACATAAAAAAAAATCCTTTAATTAAATTCAAGTACCGTTTCCTCGGAACTCGTTTCTAGACCATTTTTTAAAAAAAAAGGTTATTACATAAATCCATTCCGTTTGCAGTATCGAAAAAAACATATTATAATTATTATTTACATAGAATGAATGCATCAGAAAACTTAGATTAAATAAGACTCAAGACCAAATCAGCGACTGTAAGATAATTTTTGTTTAATACAATTCGGAAACATTTTTAACTTCTATATCAGCTGTTGTACATTTCTTTAACATTATTACATTAGGCAGCAGCCAGCATGACTATATAACATCATTATCTCTTTGTGCGCATTTGAATTAAATCGGTTCGGATCTTTAAAACAGTTTTTTTGCGCTCAGACTATATCAATAAAATGGCGGGTTTGTTTGAACTATTATAATTTAAAAAAATAAAAGAACAATAAAAACTGTTAATTTTTAAATATTCTTTAAAAATTTTTTTAAAAATGTCGAATAATACATTAAACATTTTTTTTTTTTTTACAAAAAAAGTCACATCAACATAAAGTTTATTGAATGAGCTTTGATTTATGTTAACTTGTTTTGCTTATTTAAATTTATTCATTTTCGTTTTACAAATTTTACCTACATAATAATATTATAATGTGACAGTTGACAACTGACTTGTAAAAGTAATAACTTTTCAATAGGTAAACATAAATGTTCTTAAACATTATTATCATCACAATATGCAAAATATTAAAAAGCGATTATTATGCTAATTTAAACAGTATCCCTGTAACATTTGATATGTTTGTAATTAGTAAAATGTAAGCTGTGTACAATGTGACCGTGTACCGATTATTGACTTAGTCACAGCTAAAACAAGTTGAATTTGAATTTGTTTTAGCTGTTATTTTGGCTAGACAGCTCTCTTTTTTGTCCGTGTAATGTGATATTCAGAAACAACAATACAGTGTAATATTATTCATATTTATTTATTTACTGCCGTCGAGACTTTTGAAATGACAGTAATTGAAATAATTAACTGCGCCCAAATAATTTAACATTTACATGGATTTTGTGAGTACAATTTCACTTGTTGATTGGCTATTTTTGATACTTCACTGTGCAAACCAAACACGGGTATTAACTTGCGAGTTGTGTGTCGCCTTATCTTGGCTTTACCAAGATCTAATCTTTCTGGAATCATTATCGAGGTAACCGTGTCTATAGGAGCTACTTGAAAAGCTATATCTACATCTCGAGGTCGACCCACCTGTGGACATGGTACAATATTTAGTTTACATGTGATTATTAATATTTAAAAATAAATCGACTAATAATTGACCGTTTTATTCCTCGCGGTTGTTTTGGGCGCTTACACTTGGTATTATTATAAAAAAATCAAATCCAACAAAGTACTACTTCTTGTGACACGTCCAGTTCAAACTGTCCAAACGGAAGTGTGTTAATATTTTATGGATTTCAATTCTAGTTTTGACAAAAAAATATGTATATAGGCAATGGAGCACGGTATTGTCGCGTTCAATTGGGCGGAAATAAAAAATAAAAACACTCTGGTAAAAAATATATATATTTTCCTCCTAAGTACATTTTGGCTTCGATGCCGAGCAGAGATGCTATTTTTTTTTCAGTGTAAGCTTATGAGTGTTACTTATTGATATTTGTTTGAGATTTTTTTTTAATTGAGTTAGCGGTTTTGGTTGTCGTTTTAACAATATCAAATAGCTGTTAAAGTTTAGATTGGAAAAAGTAACCAAAATAAAATATACTTGAGAGATTTTTCAATGTAGATTGTGTTATTTACATATTATACAGCCGATTTTACCAACATTTGTTAAGAATTTAACTTATTGTTAATCATGTTTAACAACTGGTTAGTGAAAATTAGGTTTCATCGAGATTTGTTAGCCTTAACACATTGTTAAATTAATCACCCGAAATCGGCTTGTTAAAAAGTTAATCGGCATGTTAAAATGTATTGTAGCACTTATATATAATAGTTTTATATTATTTTAGTTCAGAAATTGTTTTATAATTTTTGTTGACCGAGTATACTAGTAATATATAATAATAAATTACACATTTAATGAGGAACTTCTTTATATAGAGTATTTTAAGAACAATAGAAAAGACAACTTCGATAACCCTTTATTAGGTAAACAGAAGTTATTTTGTGTAAGTAGATTAGGTAAAAAGGAATAGCACAGACTTGCATTATCGGTCCACATTTCATAATTTAATGTATTTTGTAATTTAGATAATATTATTATGTCTTGCCTATCCTGAGAATAACAATGGATATAATTCTTATCACTACCTACTTTTGTTTTAGGCCTTCAAAATAGAAAAAAATGATTTTAATGACCTTGATGACAAACTATTTTTAGAAAGGTATCTAAACAATGTGTTAAAAAATTATATATAAATTATTTATACAAACCGAAACGTTAAAAGAAAGTAAAACAAAATTCCAAATAATAACTAACTGACAAATTATTTATATACAATCTCTTATCAGTTATCACATACTTAATAACCAATGAAAACGTTGGAATCGAGCTAACCGTTTGGTAACCCAACTAACGTTTTGTTAACTTAACAAATAGAATTTAACAATAATAATGTCATTGTGACACTTATTGTATTTAACCAGATGTTAAATTTAAATAAATTGTTAACTAACATTGTGTTGAGAGTGTATTTACCAATAGTTGGTGAAACCGGTTGATTATATTATAGTAAAGAACACGACTTAGAGGCATGTTTTAGAGATTGTATTGCGTTTTGAAAATTATAAAAAAATTGTCCAACATGATTATATACACAGAAATGATATTCGAAAATTAATAACACTAAAACGTCGACTTTTCAATTTTAATATTATATCATCGTAAAAGAATATGGAAAGTTTAATAGTATGACATAAGAGTTTAACTGCTTAATGTGAACATAATACCTATTTATATGTTCGACCATATAATATTAAGACACGGTTCTTATATTACACGGTATCTTTTATATAGACCACAAGTGTCTATTCTTATATAGTAAAAAATCTAACATGATTATTCTGAAAATTTTAAAAACATCAGTTTAGGATTTGAATAATTTTCAATTAGCATAATCACAAGTTTACAATACAAGTAAATTAGTTAGTATTTCCGCTGCTTAGTTAAAATAAGCAAAAGGTATTTTATTATATGCATTTTTTTTTAAGATAATTATTCCACTAACTTGCGATTTGCGAGTTCACGAAATTACTCGGATTTACATAACTAAACAGTGACGGTTACTAGTTTTAAGGTGTTTTTATTTTTAGATGTAGTTTTTTTGGGGGGTTCTTATTATAATAATATTGTACGGTGGTTTTCTTCAGTCTTCAATCATTAAGTCGAAAGACATTCGAATAACTAAAAGTGCTTCAATCTTCTTCAAGACAAAATACACTTAATATTTTTTGATAAATAAAGTTCAGATGTATTGATTTGTTTCAACATACACTTCTAAAATATTATTCTCTTTTTTCAATATAAGTTTAACAAGTGTATTTTGAAAAACATTTTTAAATACAAATGTTGAATACAAAACTATTGGGAAGGGGAAATGGTGACAATAACAAAACTATATTATATTGAACGGTTTTAATTTACTTGAGTGATAATACAAAAGTATAAAAAATACATTTTCTGATTGCAACTCTGTTTAATTTCAATAATATGTTTTCAAGATACCTACCATAACAATTTATTTTTAAAAAATTGCACCTTCCTCTATTATATTCCTATAACGCTGTTTTGTTTGTAACCATGGAAATCGGCAACAACTTCCTGAATGTTTCTGAGCTTGTTTACGGATGTATTTATTAAGACTAGGACAGTTTATGTATTTTGTTTAACGTTATTTGAAACTTATAATAATA